GTGGCCCTACGCGGGGCTGGGGGCGAGGAGGCAGCCCCAGGGGTCGGTCGGTCGGGTGGGTGTAGGCGTGCATGCCGAGTCTCCCCTTGAGTAGAAGGTCTCCTTGTCTGCGGTGGTGAGCCGGTTTAAAGCAGGCAGCGGGAGGGGGGAAGGAGGTAAAAGCCCCCCCGCAACCACCTCCGAGGCCGAGCCTTCCTGCGGTCTCCTCCACAGCAGTCACGGTCGTGGGAACGTGGAGCTGGGTGACCCTTGGAGCTCACCCACCGGGTGGTTAGCGCTCCTGAGGCATCAAGAGCGGCTCTGCTGTGATAACAACGGGAGGATATTTGAAATGGGAAACGTAGAGATGGAGCAGGGAATGTCTCTAGCGGGGCATCATAAGGGAGCTGACTGGACAGAAAGCGTTCTGTGGTTTCTATTCTGAGTCCGAGAAGAGAGAAGCAAGCTGGAGTGCTTCTGTTGCCTGTAGGCGAAATATTTTGTAATCTACCCCTGGGCTCCAGGCAGCCCTCACCCTACGGACCTGAGACAGAATGTAACCTAATTCAGTATGTTGGGAGTGTTTGTACTGCTTTACGTGAGTAGGAGATGGTCAAACCAGGCGTAACTTCTTTTGTCTGTCTTTTTTTTTAATTATTATTTGTTAAAAGAAATTGGGCTGCAAAATGAAAATCATGACTGCAATGTACCCTGGCTAAAGGTGGTCTGTGAATGGTAGCATTTTAGTCTTATTGGTGAGTACTTTGCAACTGCACGCTAACGCTAAGCTCTTGCACGGTATTCCCTGCAGTGCTGCCTCTCCATCCACAGGGGTGCCAGGTCTGCCCTGTTTGACCAAGACATGGCCTCAGCTAGGCTTGTGGTTGTGTCGTGAGCGAATATGAGAATAAACCTCTGGAGAAGCTCCTGCTGCTATAACATACTGCACGTGTCCCTCAGCTATCTGGGTTTTTGCTAACTCATTAAATGAGTCTTGGTACTCATTTGATGTGAAACTTTTGTTTCAGACGTTGATTTAGATAGCTGAAATGTCTCTAGAAGACTGTATTTGACAAATTCCCCTCTCTATGATGACATGTCTTTCTGTATTAGTATAGCTCGTCCATGTGGGAGCCAGAACTTTTGTGGAGGTAGCTCAGCTTCCAGCGAAATTGCAGACTTCATGCTGTGGCAAGTGTGCAACACCATGCACTGCCTTTTGGTCAAAAGGCAGAGCAATATTTAACTGGTGCTTTGCTAACATATGCCCCTTTCTCTGAGAGAAGGTGATAAAACAGGGAGTGTTTTTCTCCGTAATGAAACTGTGATGCTCTTGCAGAAGAGAACAGCAGCTAAGCTGGTTAATAAGGGCATAGTGTGATTCACAGTAGTTGCTCAGTCTCTCTCATTTCTGAAACCATGAACTACTGTTAGAAAATGATAATGCCAACCGCTTTCTTCTTGGGAACCTCCATGGGAAAACAAGCAAGAGTGCTCTCTTTCTATATCTCTCTTCCCGCTGCAAGACATATCTTATGGCTGTTTTCTACTCCTACCCACAGTACCTCTTCCACCCACTAACTTCCTTGGGTTTATTGAAGAACAGGGCAAAGCACAAGAAGCTGTGGTTTGTGAGTGGGATTGTACACTTGAGATTTGCTTACAGACATATTGTAAGGTACTGCTTTTGCTTTCACGGTCTGGTCTTCCTAATGCTGTTCCTCCAGTTGATACAGGGCTCCTGTACCCGTGGGGAGGAATGCAGAAGGAAACTTAATAACGGTTGCTGGCAACTGACTTCCCTTCTTTCATAGTAAAGCATAGAGTTTGTAGCTCAGAATCCTTCCCTGTGGCATAGGTTATTCTTTTGTTGTGTGTCCAACTCTTGGCTCTTCAGGATCGGTTACCTTGCTGTATATCAGCCCTGAGGCTGCCATGAGTGCCTCATACCCGCTGTTTATGGCTGGAGCAAACACTGTGGAAGAGCAGAGGGCTCGCTGGGAGAGAAAGCGGAGCCGGACAGCCAAGGAGCTGCTGGAAACTGAACACAAATACCTTGAGCAGCTGGATTTGGTGGTCACAGTGAGTATTTTGGCCCCTTCTGATAAGTGGGTACCTTCAGGCAGCACATACTTATTTGTGCTGTCATGGGGAAGGGTTGAGGGAAAGACTTTAATACATCCCTACTGCATGGGACAACTGCTGGGGCTGAAAGGTTTTTTGGGTTGTTTTTTTTTTGTTTACGTCCTCTGAAATATCAGATAGCTCATGGTTTTGGTCCCTTGGCTTTGGTCTGTACACAGACATAAATCTTTAAGTTTTGATTATATAGCAGGCTTGCCTTAAGGTGCCTGAGATGTGTGAAATGTAGGGGCACAGACAAGACAAAGATAGATTATGAACAAGGTGGTGAAAAACAGATGCGTCTAGGAATACTGAATTAGACTCTATCAGTGCTGTAGTGCTGTTCCACATGTTTACAGTTACGGTCAAAGTTACCAAGAAGGCTTACATCTGATGATAGATATCTTACGTAGGCATTCACAATATTTTATATCCTTTCAAGGTAAAGAGTGTGCAGGCTGCAAATTCTTGTTTCTGTGTGCCACAAACAACCTTTGAGTGACCTGTGAATTTTACCTGTTTGAAATTGTCTCCTTTTTTCCTACTTAGTTCTTTGTGACAATTTTAAAGGCCAAAGGGACGCTGAAACCTGCTGTCTTGGACACCATATTTGGACCCCTGGAATCCATATATTCAGCCAGCCAGTAAGTGAACACACAGACGTGATTCTTCTAATTATATGGGGAGGACCCTGTATTGGTGAGAAAGTAAGATTTCAGAAAATAAAGCTAATGCCTTGTAAAACAGGCATGTACTGCTAGCCTTAGTGGGACTTGCAGGTGTACCCAGGAAACTGCTGATCTGTATCCACATATCCAGATGCCCAGTTGCTCTCTGGATAGTGGTTTAAACCCAGTAAGTCTGCTCTGTGGTATTTTTAAGGGGTGTTTTCTGTAGCTTACTCTGTGACCACTAAGCACGTATTTGGCAGAGAAACTAGATGTGAGGTGGAGGCTGACAAAGGAAGATCAGAGGGAGCTGTGAAAATGCTGTCAGTAATGTACCCCTCATGAGCTTTCTCTGCTCCTTGTGCACAGTGTTCTGTCTCTTCACCTGGAGAGAGGAAATTTGGGACCAGGATTGGAAAATTTCTGTCAGAATCTAGAGCTTTATGGCCACTATGCTGAGAATTTGGAGCAGGCAAATAAAACCTTGAAGGTAAATAATCTCCATTATTCTTCATGTTCTTTCTTTCCTCTCTTTCTCCATTCTGTGAAACAGCTACATCCTTCCCTTTTTCTTCTGTTTCTGGAGTGATCAGTTTTCTTCCTTTTTCTGGGTTGCTGCTATTTTCTCAGTCTTACTTCCATAATAGAATGGTGAAAACTTCTCTACTTCAGAGCTTCAGATCTTTGAAGCTTGTTTCAGGTGTATGTGTATGTATGTGCATAGGCTGAGCACTGCTTTCCCAAACAGGGTTCTGTATTTACTCCCACTCCTCCTTGGCTGGCAAGTCTGGAGAGTTTTCAGTGGGAACACTAGGGGACAGTGATCTCCTGCTGGAGAATTATCAGGTCTCCTAGTCTTTCCCACTACCACTAACTGTATCCTAACAGTGGGATTTCCTTTTCCTTCCCATTTTTTTTTCTATGGTGGAAGAAAAATTATTCCTTTCCACTTAGCTTCTCCAAATACAACCTGTCTTCCAAGAAATTTCAGAAGGATATATTTTTGTTTCAAAGTCCTGAGAGCTGTATCTGGAATTTAAACTACCTGACTTACTTTTTTTTTTTGTCTGTGCTTGTTCCCAGCTGCAGGATGTACTGGGATGTTTCCCTTCTGTTCTGTTTGCATGCATGTATTCATGCAATTGATTTCCCAAAAGGAAAAGCCATTTTGGATACTTGCCTTGGGGTGATGGGAATGCAGGGCTGCATTGCTTTGCCTTGAAATGAATGGCAAAAAGCCGCAGGTGGACTCCCTGTTTTCCTATCTGAGTCAGTCTTCCTTTTTTACTTTATTTCCATTTGCTGAGTATACTAGCTTTATACTGATGTGACTGTATAAAGAGAAGATGCTGCTTCCATTACCTGCTGGGAAATGGTGGTCAGGAGAAAGGGAATTACTCGCCTATGGCTACAAAAGAAGTTGTTGATGGTTGCGTTTAGGGCTGGAGTCCTAAACTCTAAGTTTAAGAGTTTTAAGAGTTCCAAGCTCTGGTACATACTAGACCACATATATCTTTCTATAGTCTCAAAACTATATGCCTTTTCTGCTGCACACAGGAGCAACTGAGAAAAAATAAGTCATTCCGACGGTTTAAGAAACTCCAGGAAACTCGACCTCAGTTTCAAGGGCGAAAGCTAGAGGATCTGCTTCCTTTGCCCCTGCAGAGGCTGCACCAGTAAGTAAGCAGTTCTGAGTCTTCGAGGTGTTAGTACAAAAGGGAAAAAGGAACATAACAGTCTCTTGGTTGCTATGGAAGGTAAAGTTGCTTAATGTGTCGAAGCATACAGACAGCAATGAAACAGACCTGAAGATGTGCCTGTAAAGTGGAATCAGTGTACATGGATGAGAGTTGATGCAGACAGGTAGCTATGTTTAGCCCTGGCTCCTAAGCCCTTCCTCTAGATCTCAGGTAGAATTGAAGTGGAGGCTTTCTATCATCTCAGTCAGCTACTGAAGTTAGGCCCTGAACAAAAGCAAGCTGTGGGAAGTGCTGCAAAAGTGGTGCTCTCTGCCAGACACGGTCTCGCTCCGCTTTTGTGCAGGTTGCTGACCTGGAGCTTTGTGACTGTCCTCTCTTGTAGATGG